CATTAATAAATAAAATTGATGAAAATTGGTTCGAGGGTAGTGTAAATGGCCGTACCGGTTATTTCCCCGTAACATACGTCAAAGTGGATGTTCCATTACCATGAGTTACTGGCTAGAGATGTTACCAAATTTTTAATTTTGATTTTTTTTATTTAAATAAATTTATTACCTACTTTAATTTACAGAGAAAGATGGCCTCCATGTAGCTATTAGATAGGTATTGATCCAACATTCTGTATACAGTAATCAACTTAAATATAGGTACACCATTAAATTATTACTTTTTTTTTTTTAAATATATTACTTGTATTGGCTATGTAACTCATTTACAATATCGAGTAAATGTTGGATAAAACGGAAATATTTACAAATCTTAAAAAAATTATTTACAAAGATGTGATTTAACTAATTATTTATTACAAATATTTCGATTATTTCCAACACTAAGGAACATTTACACGGTACAATTGCGTGCAGCGTATACGAAGTTAAACAATGGTTTTTATGGAGAATTGAGAGAATGTTTATTACTAATTGATTATTCATTGATCATTTAAACAATACGGAAATGTTAAGTATTGCTTTTTATTTTCATTTAACAGAGAATAATCATGGTAAACATTTAATGTCCGTAATACATATACACCAATGAATAGTTAGTTATGATGAAATGATAAGTGATCTGACCTGGCACAGGTAAAAAAAAAAAACAAGTTATGTTACTGTGACAATTGATGTACGTTATGGATCGAAAATGTTTTGTTATATATTATGTTTTTAAAAAAAAAGCTCAATATTTTTAGTGTAATACAGATTATAGACATTATTAGTGTTAATATATTAGCTAATTGAATTTAAAAAATTAAATGTTCAATTCATTACAAATGTTTCGACTTATGATAAATATGCACTTACGTGTGTTAAATTATTAAAAAACAATGAAACTAATAATAATAATGCAGTAGAGGTGTCCTACAGAATATACTCAATGTTAATTAATTTTTTAAATGTTCCATGTTGTATTAGTGTAATAAGTGAAAATGTAATTTCTGTTTCAGGTGTAATTTGTGCAAAACGTTACGTTCGAATTGAATATAAAAGCTTTTCAAATCCTCTGATCACTGCATGATATGTATGTAAATAATATAAGTCGAAATATTAGTAGACAACAACTTTCGAAATTACCAAAGTAAATTAAAAATGTTTATTATTATTATTGTTATTCAAAACTGTAGGTTTTCAGTAAGCATATATGTAAAATGTTTTGTAACAACAACACTACACCAGATGGGTAACATAGAAAATACATGTATAGTCTGATAGGGTGAGTTAAAATTAAGAAACTTAAGAATTGTACAAATTATCAGAGGGGTAACATGTTCGCGTTCAAATTTTGAACTCGCTCAATCAGCAATAACTTTTGAAAATAAACGTTTAATTTTTCCATCTGGTTATACGACAATACATAGATGTTATAAATAAGTAAAGGCTACTATATTCTTATGAAAGTTGTCTTAAAATGTATCTCTGTTTTAAATGCTTCTCGAGCTACATCTTGCCTGTCATTTAAAATGTATTTTCAACGTTTTCCATGCCTGTTGCATAATATAAGCGTCTAAAACTGTTATTAATACATATGTATAAAAAACAATAAGTATTCTATTCTCTGCAAATACATTCTGCGTGTCAAAAGCTGTGTGTTTAATAAAAAGAAATTATATGTTTGTGAAAGTTATGCATATAATAGAAAGATTGCCATTTTTTTTCTTTTTTTGTTCTTTGCTTCGTGCTTAAATTTTTTTTAAAAGTCTGATAAGAAATTTGTGGTAAACTCAACACAGTTATAAAACTGTTTTGTGTACCTTTAATTTTAAAGTTCAACTGATATATTGTTCTATCATTAAAAAACTGTAAATTGTATAAATTTAACTTTTAAAAATATGTATTTGTTAAATTTAAAATACGAACAGTTCCTAGATTTAATAGAAGGAGATGTATACCTAATTGATTACCATTTGTATGTAGAATTGAATTTTCAGTTCCACATATGCAAATGAATATTGATATATCATGCAACTTGTGACACGTGATTTACTGCAAATTTTATTCGTAATGTTTCGATTTTTTTAAAAATTACTTAAGCAATAACGACGTTTGTTTATGTGCACAATATGCAAAGAAAGAATATATGCCTATAATATAAATAAATATTGCTTATTTTTGAAAAAAGCCGAACTTAATTTTCTGTAAAAAGATAGTTACCAAATTTCTTATATGTAGTCTATTTCCAAAATACTATAACTGTTAGACAAACATAACAAATGCAGTGTTAACGTTAATATGTAATTGTGGATCAATTAAACAGTGTAGAAGAATTATTATTATTTTCTTTTATACATAATAGGTGCATACCAAATTACCATTATTGCCGAAAAATTAAATAAGAATATCAACTCACCCTTCTCCCATCTGAAATTAAAATTTAAAAATCAGATTTGTTTTTATTGTTAACTTTTATTGCAACTCACCTTCAAATTCTTTATTGAATACTATAATCCTTTTCATCGTTATCATAGTAAGTTGGAATTTCCCAGCCTCGATAGTATGTTGCAACCCATGCTTGTACCAATCGCAATATAGTGTTTTACCTTGATCTCGAGCTGATCTTGTCAATTTTCGTCATTTATGAGCACAAAAAAGAAATTACACATTCCACTACGTTTATTTCCATTGCTGTCAACAATACTGTGGAAAAATTAATAAAGACAAAGTAGAAAAAAAAATATATACAACAGATAATACTTCAACGTTTGTTTAGATTTCTATAAAAGGAAACTCGACGAAAAATGGTGTTAACGATAAGTTAAACATTAACTTTTGTCTTAGTTAATAGGTGACACTACATGCGATAGTGGAACATTTAACACAAATTTCCCAACAACTTTTGAATATCTAATCCTCAGCACATCAAAAACTTTTTCCGGTTATTAATAATACCCGGCAATAAATATGTAGACAATTAAGTAATATTTTTTTGCATCTGCAAATACCAACGTACGATCGATTCGTAAAGTTTTATGTGCAACTTTTTTAATTTCCAAGTTAAAAGGAACGGCATAATGCAGTTTCCATGGCGCCATGTGAATTATGTAATAAAAAGGGTGGTTATGAAATAGTAAGGAAAAGATGTTAAATATTTTATATTTAGCTTTTACTAAATTTATAATATGCAATCATCATACATGTTGTGTTGTTTAAACCTACAGCCAGAAAAATATCACCACATATTTTAAACTACACTCGAGGAGGAGTTCATCTAGTGCACGACTGTCAGTGCATACGTTACGTCGTAATCTACAACTGTCGATAAACAGTTCATACTTCTAGAGTTTCCATTAATAAAGTATTAATAATTACTAAAAAATCAACGGGATGTACAACATTTTTAGCTTTAAACCATTTAAAACAAAATTTGTATAAAAACACCACTCTCAGTACTTTCTTTGTACATTTATTAAATCAGTTTCAGACATATATATTTATATATATGTATGTATGTATGTATGTTGTATGTTATGTATGTATATATAAAGCATTCGCGCAGTATTTATCATTACCAAACATGAAACATAAGAGAAGAATTAAGGCGTGCAGGAGAAATAAGGAAATAAAAATTAACCACCCAATACCAGGCAATTCGAGAACTGCAAGAATAGTACTATTTCATTTCAACAATCATCATCACATCGTAATCGTCGTAGTCGCTTTTGTAGGTAGGGTAGATATATAAAGTTACAGTTGTCGTAGTCATCGTTCTCTCTAACTTACTCAAAATAATTATATAATATTAATAATAATAATAATAATAAATTACATAAGTAACATGGATCATGTTCTCAACATTTCCAGAAAGACGTATGCTCTTTAATATACAAAATGGTACAATTAATAATGAACTATATACTATGTGGTTTATTAATTAACTAACTATTATCCGAGATCTGAAACATCTCACTACCAGTCCGAAAACCGAACGAGTTTGTCCACATTTGTTTTTATTTCGTTCTTCGTCTATTTAAAGGTATTTTAATACGCACACGAGCACCACGTGTCCATTATTTTAAACCAGAACGAAACAACGATGGGTGGTCCTTTGTTCTTACGCGCACAAGCGAAGTTGTTGAATCGGCGACAGTATGGTAGCAATAATTAATGGCCGCACGTAGTGACGACGATGCTACTATCAGCAGCAGCGATTAGAATTGAAACGATTCGTTTTATTACCATTTCTTTCCCTAAATCTTCTTTTGTTTACTACTTTAATCATTTCTTAGTTCAACTTTTACTAGCGGTCATTTTTTTTTTGTTACCGTTATTTATTCGAATCATTTACCATAATAACAGGAGCAATTAAATTATAATTCTTTCTATACACAAGTCTATACCAGTAGTACAAGCAGTTGTAATAGTAGTAGTAGTAATAATTTATTGGAAAAGGCCACGCGTATTTACAGGGGATGATTAGCTGTTGCGTGAGATTTGGTAGAGGACTTTAGAAAGTAAGAGGGCCACTTGTTGGTCAAGAATCTGACTCATTACGAGCGCGAGGAGTCGTGGTTCTTGCTGCACTAACAACGGCCGATTATCTTGGTGTCGTGCAAGAAACACAAGAGTGGCAGCTGCACGACGAAGCATGTCTAAACTAGTTCCCATCGAGTCTGGATTATCCCGCAAAGCACCGATTCCGTGCTGGTTAGCAACACCTAATGCACTCTGTTCGGCTTGCTCTATGAAAGCCACCAATAATGAAATACATGGCGACTGAAGAGCAATCAAACGCGCCATTCTGCTATCTGCCGCCGCAAGATAATGAAGTAAGTTTATCGAGAATTCTCTCAGAACTTGGTCCTCAGAACGGCAAAGATGTTTCGTTAAAACTGCACATAACCTTTCCAACCTGGGAAGCGGTGGCGTAGCAATAACCAGATCCACGTTATTATTCGTTACACACAGTTTACATAGCGCTTCCAGTGCCAGCCGCTGCGGCGACAGAAGGGACGAAGGACCGACGGATGCGAAAGGGTCTTGACCGTGCGCAGAAGGACAAATTGCCCAATGCAATAAACCATCTAGTAGAGGTCGTGCAACTTGTTCTGAATATTGGCTGAGATCTACATGTCCGGCTACATTCGCTATCGACACAAGAACATTTTCTCGAATTTGTAATAAAAATTCCCACCACCACTCGTTCTCTCCTTGCAAACTGCTGCACGAGTCGGCAAAATCGGCATCCTCCTGAAACAAACCGAAACAAAACGTTCTATGTATATTAGTACTATCGTCTAATATAAGACACCTAATTATTATTATTAACATATTTTTTCGTCTGTGACAAACACAAGACTTACCTCTCGATCGTAGTTTCGTGTTTTATGAGCGCGAAGGGGATGCTCATGGTGCAACAGAAGCAACTTTCCAACAAGAGATAAGAAGACACAACTTTTGGCAAATTCACTTTCATTGCCGGGGATAAAGGTCAAGCTGCGCAAACAATTAGAAATGCACACACATCGCTTTCCTAAATTGTCTTGACTTTCGGTAATGAGAACCAGGCTTGCCTCGTCTCGCGTATACGCTTCATCCTCGTAATCGGAAATACGTCGTCTTTTTAATGTACCCGCTGCGTCGTGTATTTTCAAATAAGTATCCGTACGTTTGTTGTTACCGTCATTGTCATTTTCATAGTCATTAAGAGCCTCGTTATTCTCGGCAACATTGTTCGAGCTACTACTGGATGACGTTTGCTCGTCACAGTTCGCGTTTTCACTCACTACTTCAGTCTTTATAAAATTCCCTTTATTATTCTCCAAGACGAGCACATCGGCGGCATTCTCAGATGTGTCCTTTTTAATTCGAGATATCACATCACTTAAACTTTTTGTCCTTCGTTTCTTTTCACTGAGTTTCGAGTAAGGAGGCGTCGTTTCGCTAGGCGATTTCGGCGACGAGGATAAGCCTTTTCGTGCGGCAGTCTCTTCGTCTGTTTGAGCCAGATCACTTTTCCTTTTACTTGTCAGCGTTCTATGAAAAGGAACATGACAAAATTCTGCGCAAAATGTTGGCAATATATGATCACCCGTCACATGCCAAGGATCCGTTATGATTTCTTCAAAAATGCTCTTGTAGCTTACTTCGCCGTTTTTATCCCAGTCTTTCTGATGATCCTGTACAAAAATATCATCACAACTGTCGACCAATTTGACAGGATGTCCCTTACGTGACATATGCGAGTAATTAATCGTTTGTTTGAGTAGTATTACTTTTGCGTCCGTTTCTATTGGCATTTTAACAGAACCAAGATCCACCTCGCTATCGTCGGCTTTTTCATTAGCATTAAATGGCTTGTCGAACATATCAGTCAGGCTTTTCTTAAAATGGTCTAAAAGAAGATCAAGAAGTCCTGCCCATTGATTAAGTCCAAAATATGCCACTGATGAGTCATCAAATAATAATATATTTAATACATCTAAAGCATAACAGCTTTCCATCAACAACCCCGACCGCAAACACATGATAAGTCTCCACGCATCTACGGGACCAACATCTCCTCTGCACACACGTTTACGACGATATAAAACGGGAAGCGTCGCTTCGATGCTATCAGAAGGAAATGTTATTTCACGTTTCGGAATTTGACTTTGTCCAAAAGTTCCGGTTGGTGGTGCCGAAGATTGAACTTTACCCGACTGTGGTGGCATTACATTAAATGGTTTTCCAGGGCGTACACTAAGCGGAGCACGAAGTGGAGAATTTTGGCCGACTCCTGGAGAAGATATTGGTGACCACTGTTGCTGTCCCTGTTGATTAGGCTGGTAATTTTGCGTTGCTGCTGGATAACGATCCCATTGTCCGCTTGGTCTTCCGCTCTGATTCCATTGTTGCGAACCTGCTGTAGGGGTCGAAGAACCGACATACGGTCCTCTATATTGGTTACTGTTGGACCAACCCCCTAAAATTTAAGTAATACACGTTCTTACATAATGCAATAACTTAATAATTATTACATACATACACATATTGACTACAAGTAAGTGCCGGAAAGATACAATATTAACTCTTCTATTTGCGAACAAATTACAGTGATTTGTTGGCAATACACTATTTTAAAAAAACAAAGATGTTTCATTTCAGAAAAGAGTGAGTGAAATGTACAAGTACATTTCAGAAGTATGAAAAAATTTTATAAAACGTATGGGTGGGTGTTTCAGGACTAGGGTTTTAGACAATACTAAAAACAAATTTTCAGTCTTATATGTAATATCTACTGTACTATAACCGAGAGAGAGCAATATGTGCAATTTAAACAGCTATTTTGTCAGTAATTCTTTACCTAAATTTGTTATAATATAAAAACAGATCAAATAATGCAGAGGGTACAGGCCGGCCCTTGAAAGATAAATAATCAAATGGAGACTTTAAAAATATTATTTACCGTATATTTGAGGTCTTTGTTGGCCATACTGAGAGTAGCTTTGTTGATCTTTGGCAAAATCTGGATGCCTCCTTGGGTGAGGGGCGGGAGGAGGCATGTTCTTATTTGGAGGACCTCCAGAATAATTTCCGGATGTACCACCCACACCCTGCAGATACAAGAGCGGAATAAAAAAAAAACAAAATAATGTAATTTAATAAAATGTAAATATTAGATATGCTGTCAGCACAGAGCAAAGTAGGTAGTACCGGCAATTTCTTATGCGAAGTGTACGGTGTGTTGCATACCTATTTACAAACAATTCCTTTAAATTTAATTTTTCAAACAATTTTTAACACAAGGAAAGTGATTAAACAAATTGTTCACAAATGTGAATTTCGGCCACTCGAAGCAATGGTGCTAACAGTTTTGAGCTCACAGTGACTGATAGGGGGGAAGAACTAGTTTATTTAAATTAAATTTGCCCTGTTACCTGTTCGGGTCTGTAATAGTCTTGTTGTGAAGGATATTGTCCAGAAGGAGGTTGAGATGCTGGTGGGCCTCCAACGGCGGGACTTCCTCCATATGTTGGTCTAGGTGAGTATCCTCCAGCTGAACCACCTAAAGAATAACGGTTATACGGGTCCTGTCCGGCTGACGGTGCGCCTTGGCTATTATTCGGACTCGTTGGGGATGCCGACGAATCGCTCGAATAAGTGGGATAGACCGTTCGAGCTGCAGGAGGATACGACGAACTAGAAGGATATGGTGAATACTGATCTGCTGGTCCTCCTGCGTTTGAGCCAGGATACTGATTGTAGCTTCCCTGACCACCATAGCCCTGCCCTTGTGGTCTCGTTGGAGTGCCTGCAGGATAAGGTGGATGAGAACCTCCTGGGAATGAACCCCCTCGAGGTGGCGGACTGGGGGATACATCGTCAAATGGATTCGAAACACTAACATTATCAGATGCCCCGCCTGCAGGGCTTGGATTTCCAGAGGGTGCACTGCCTAGATGGTTAGCACCTCCAGAACCTACACAATAGTGAAAACTGACGGTGAAAACTAAATTACTTATTCTGCGGCCAAATTTACTTTCTTATAAGGTTTCGTTTTTCTTCCTATCATATTATCTAAATAGTCCTTAATTTTTTATTTAATTACTCAACATCAAACGCTTTAAACATATCAAAATCAACAGCATTATATTAATATTTTTAGTTTAAATTACCTTCATAAGCGTAAGACGAATAATTAGGAACGTTGTCGATGTAAAATCCACACGAATATAGAGGAAACATAATCAACTTAACTTGCTTCTCTTCTACTAATTTAACAAAGAAATACTGATCTGTTTTAAACACAGCATCGAAGTTACTATCAAATAACGATATATCGTAATCGTTTCGTCAAGTTTTTTCTTTGTAAGGACATCTAAAGAATTCTTCAGTCAATTCTGACATCATGGAAAATAACACGATTATAAAACCTTATCTGACAAAAAACGAAACCTCAAAGTGTCATAATGTATTTTTTTTTTTCACGAAAAAACAAGCAGCATATTCAAATAATACTGCCTTGCATACAATAATACGCAAGTATGTACGTTTAAATCAAATTTTAGTTACACCGTCAAATTCCACCTTTGGCAATTTCCATCTTACAGTTCACCCTTTCGATCAAACGCCATTGCTTTTACTTGTGCAGTAATTTTCAATTTCCACCTGTTTCTGAACTTTTTTCTAGAAAATCTTACATATTTCTTTAGACGAAACACGAACATTACGAACGAATGATAATATGAGAACTGTATACTTTTAATATGATAAAGGAAAAAAGCATGTTAACTCTGTATTTATGCAATTATAAAATGATTTGTATCATAATCAAATTTTAAGAAGGAAGAAATTTGTATTACTGTAGATTCATAATTTACTTTAAATTTTAATAGAAATTTGCAGTTATAATTCTAGTAATGATTTTGATTTTTGTATTTTGTTTTTTTATTAAAAAGGCAATTATAAAGGGGAAATTGCCAAAGTAAGGAATTTTAAAAAGTGGGAAAGAAACGTTCCAAAAAAACAATAAAAAAAATTCGTAAACTAACAACACCAACAAATAAAGAAAAAAAATCATAAAGGTGGAAATTGAAAAATCACAAAAGGCATAACGCACCCTGCTTTCGACACGAACATAAGCAAACATTTTCGATCACAATCAATTAAAATGACTGACTCACCAACATGCCCAGAAGGGGCGTTGCTTTGTGTCCTTTGTGACTGCGCGTTATAATCCGGATTGCCTCCCGAAGGATAACCATAATTAAAACCATCCATTGACGCCCCTCCTGACCCCGGCGGTGGGAACGAATCCTGAGAATTTGAAGAACCTGGCGATGGTACTGATGCGGATTTGGCACCCTTCTTTTTAGAACTAGCCTCCACTTGATTTATAATCGGTTGCGGATCGATGCCTCCTCGATCAAACTGACACTCGTACGCCAAAAGATTTTTCGTATAATGTTTTCTAAGCGTATACGCCGCACTGGAAGAAGCACCAATACCCAACATTCCCGCAATATCTTTCCATGTTTTATTTTTCGTCACCTAAAATACAATTTATATAAACATTCCTCCCCCGATAGATAAATAAAAAATAAATCGATATGTGACGTAGGCACGTTAAATAAAGAATGCACCATAAAAAGAATAAACAAAAGGCACGCAATAACAAATACTGCTTTTTATCAGAACGATGGGCTCACTAGTTGGATTGATTATTTAGTATAACAAAACATCACAAATTAAAACGTAACAAGTGACAATATGCCTTATGTTAATAGACAAAAAAAAATACAACACAAAAGTACAATAGTAAGCGAAAATAAAAACGAAACACCCCCATTAATGTTTATATATTTGTTGGATTTTATCTACTAAAAATGTCTTGCCTACATCACACATTTTAGACTTCGTTGCTTTTCTTTTCTAAAGTACTGCATACCTCCATAAAGCCACCCCTTTCTTTAACATAAACGTATAAACGAAACAAATCGAGTGGATTTTTGGAAATTGTAGGGCACGTTGTTATAGGAGTACGGCGTTCTTCCATGAAAGCAAGTAACTTGTCCAGCCACACACGACGTTCAGGACTATCGTCCATTTCATAAAGCTTGCTTAGGCTGTCTGTCTTCTGCAAATATATTCTGTTAATGCAACACACAAAACAGTAAACCAATTACAAGCACAAGAGTAGTTTTTAATCGCAAACCGTACAACATGCCAGGAAGAAGAAAGCATTAGCAGACATAGCAATAATCTATTATAAATAAAATAGTAATAGATATAACCTTTGAACGATACGTGTCCGGGGGAGGCACATGACTGTTAAAAACCTGCAAACACCCAAGGGTTAGGATAATACACACTAAAAAGCACAATCATCGATTCTGGAGATGTAATGAATATAATTCCAGACGGACAATGAACGATATAAGAACCTACGCTTTCACATAAGAAATCCATGGTGGAATTATGATTCGGGACATGAACTACTAGGTCCAGACATTTCGTCAGCAACTGCAGGTGACATCTTCGGTGGTACAGCGTTGCCAGTTACCGACGAAACATCCAGACCTAACAGTTCGTTTAGACCATAGCCTTTCGGTCTGAATTATAATTCTACCATAGGCAATGAACCGCCCAAAATCATAACATTTACATTTCTAATTGTGAATAACGACTTTGTATGAAGTTACACAGAAATATGAGACAAAACACAACACAAATGATAAAAACATCATCATGTAAGGTAAATTACACATACACTGCTACAACGAAGAAAATGTGCTGTTATTTTATTAAAACTCCCCTAACTTTTCTAAATAAATTAAGACAAACCAAATTTATGATGAAAGTTACCATTTCAGTAATTCAGCCGCATCTCGACAAGACATAAAATATACCTTCATTCAATTCTTAAATAGAAAATTTGAATGTAGGTTTTCTAAGCGTAAATTTTTATATAAACATGTATCAAACACTTGCCGATACAAATTAGTGGAGTTTCAAATATAATTTTATATTTTTCCAATACATGGAACACTTAAAAACACAAACGTCTTGCCATGTACAGGTTAAACAGATAATCCCAATATGTTAAAACAATGCTAGCAAATAACAATGAATTTATCTAATCAGCTTGGTCGACAGTTAAACTATAAATATTATCCAAAACCAATAAAGGTACATTTCACATTTGTAATATAATACAAAGTATAAACTGCAAACAGACTCCGGTGCATTTCTAATGGTACCTATATATTTATATTATTCGTACATATGTATTGTACACGTATTTAATCATGACATTATTCATTACATCCCAGTACATAACGGGTAATTTTACTTACGGGACTGGCCGGAGTTCTGGGCCAACTAGGGCTGCTTAGTTCTCCATATTCGTCGTGCAAAGAATTCACGCTTGCAGCACCGGGTGAAGGCACAGTGCTCTGAGGAGTTGTCGAATGACTGTAATGTCCTACATCATTTTTACGAGATTTCGGCGTAACACATTGTGGGTCCTCTCCAGAGGCTATAGACGAAAAATAAATAACAGTAGTTGCATGATTATAAAGATAATCAATTGTCTAATGCAGATAATTAATCCTGGTTAGATACATGCATGATACTTTACCTGCGGAGGCGTTGGATAATGTGGACTGTTGCGACCCTTCGTCAATGGTCGTACCGTCGGGTCCGGTCGTTACGACCGATGTCACTGTATTACCCGAAACCGAGGTAACATTAGTGGACATCGAACTTGCACTTGTTGTCGTAATTCCGTTATCCATAATATCAGAATTAACTTGATGATGCGAGTTAGGGGTCGAACTAGGTGGGGGCATAGGTCCGTCATGGAGATGACTGTTAGTGAGAAGCGGGCTAGTCGCTGGCGGTACATTCGGAGGACCCATACTGGGCGGCGGCCCCATTCCAGTATGGTGATGACTTGTTGGAGGAGGACCCATCTGGAAATTTTGCGGAGGACTTGCGCTTAGTGGGGTGGGCGATGAATTACTCCCAAAACCCATTTTATGTTGAAGGTGCTGTTTGAGGTAGTGCGGTGGTCTTGCTGTACTGGGAGATGGGGAATTGGGTGCTTGAGGTGCTGGGGTCGCTTTTACACCTGACAGATGATTCCCCGTACTAACTGCTGGATTCAGCCATTGCTGGTATGGAGAAAACTGAGAATTATTCATGTGGTTCGATACAGAACGGTTAGGATACTGTTGTGGCGGCATGTTACTATTCGGTGGCGCTTGTGACACTGGGGGGCCGTATCCTTGAGGCGAATACTGTGTATTACTTTGCGGTCTTGGAGGGAAACCGCTTTGCGTGTACTGCTGTCCTGACTGATATATCGGCATTTGTTGGCCTGAGGGAGGAACCATGCCTGTATGACCCTTGTACCCTTGCAAATGCGACGGTGGGTAACTGCTCTGGGTTGCCATCGGGGAATGGCTCATACGTGTTGGACCACCGCCATCTGATTGACTGCTAGATGGCCGTGGAGGTATAGGAATGTTTTGTTGACCTATACAAACAGAAAATATTATAAGTCCCACTTAAATCATTATTTTTCCCAACAAGTGATAAATGCAGACCTAAACTAAAAAACACAAAATAAACTGTAAAACATACAGCAACATAACATAACATAACGACTTACCCACTGCTGGAGACATTGACCGCGAACCTGTTGATCCCGTTGGGGACGGTGTCGGCCTCATACCCTGCGAATTCGGCGTTCCTGGAGCAGGACCTCCTGAACTATCATTACTATTTCCTCCACTCAAATCCTAAAAGAAACCAATTCAATTTAATACAAAGAAAATGAAGTTATTATTTAAAAGATTAACCATTTCACATAAATCTTTCCCATTTTGATAAAAAAATTACCTAAAAGAAAAACTTATGCAGCATAACCATTAAATTGTTTAACAACTAATAGATTTATATATGTATATTATAAATAAACATATACATATTTAATAGCATTTACTAGAAATCTGAGGACATAATGTGACACATTCACAAAAGGGTTTCTTGTGGAAATCAAAAGAACATTTCCGTAATTTGGAAGCACATTCTGTAACACGAGTGGACTTATACTTTACCAAAAGTAACGAATTTGCTTTTTACGAAAAGCGATTTCTGAACTTCAGTACCGTACCATACCATAATGTGTATTGAGAAAGGTCAAGAACTTAATTATCACTAATTGCATATGTATACACATTACGTAATTTAGGCAACTGTTTCATGTAGTATCCGTTCTGGCGGCAACGTAACTTCCACAATCTGACAAGGTCATATTATACATCTGGCACACTATTATAACAAATGTTTATTATAAATATGCACTTCAATACATCCTTCTTTCTTAACTTATTTCTATTTCTGATAACTGATTAATAAAATGCAACAAACGGTTGCTTGGAGTTTCGTAAAGGCATAAACTTGCATTAACAATTAATTTAATAACGACATTAATTTATTTGTAAATTATTTTATCTTTGCAGTTAGACAGAATTTGAGAAAGTTTGTGATCATTCATGAAATGGTCACTAATTTTTCTATAATTTCATTCACGAGTAAAATATGATCGACAAAGAATTGCAAAAGAGAATATCGAACGAAGATTTGAATTTTAAATGTCAAGGCTGAAGCCTATTCAATAACAGAATCTGAATACTTAAATCGATAATATAGATTTATCTCACTACTCTGTAAACAACAGCAGTATACAGCATGGATTTTTCGGGTAGGGCAGTATTAATTAGTCGCAGTATCTAGGATAATTCAACTGATAAGAGTACATATAATTTTCAACAGTAAAGTAGAAATCACGCGGTTTTTGTCCTAATAGCTAATAGCGATGTAATATAAAATTATAAAGATTGTGATTACGTCCTATTTATTGCGACATATGTCTCATTCTGTTTCATACAATGATCATTTTATAACTCGAACGTTAAAAATTAATTTAACTTACAGCTGCATCAGGAGCGTGTGCGTTGGGGGTTGTGGGCTGAGCTGGTCGGTTAGAGAAATTCTAGAAAAAAGGAAAATTATACGTTAAAAAAAAAATAGAAAATCATTATCTTAGAAATCATTCCATAACATACTTGATGCTGATGCGAGGACTGATTTTGATGTTGTGGACTTGGAGGTAAACCAGGTCCAGGAGAATGACTGGGCTGCTGGTTGGACTGCGGAGATGATTGGCTAGAAGGGGCGGTTGCCGAAGGTGGTCCAGGGCTACCGGAACTGTGATGAGCACTTACCGGCAATCCTGGCCACCCCGTCCTACTCTCACCATAGCCCGGACTTGAAGACGGTGTACCACTATAGGCAGGTGATAACTAAAAAACAATGCGATAAGCAAGATTAGCTGCTAAGCACCTAAACGTTCAGTCAACCGTTGCGCCGTTTTCTTAGTTATCTGGACGTACAAAAAATTCAATATTTTTTAAATCGATTTCGACGAATATATCATTACAACAAACAGGACTTTATTAAATCGAATTTTTATCCTAAAAGGGTCTCTTTGTCAGTATATTTCGTCAAAACAGTGACTTTTAAATATATATAAAAAAAAATAATACCATACGGTTTTCACGCATGCAAAATACATATAAAATATAAACTTTTCGTAGGGTTTTATCGATGTAACCCATGCTCGTTAAATCAAGATGAAAATAATAAATAAAACAAAGTGCTTATACATGTTGCAATTACCACCTATGTANCATTGTTTTCACATTGATATACATACTACATAATATTATTGTATCACATCCGATCGTTTTTGAGATGCAATGATAGACTGACTAAAAGTACAAAAAATTAAAATTATATTCGCAACTCGTGTTCTTAATGGGGTACAGGTCGATTAAAAGGCTTTGATTATTTAGAAGAGATACATAAAACGTATGCAAGTGTACCTATGTAATATCAATTCTATAAAAGCAGTACAGATCCGGGTACATTCTTCAGTAGAAATTTTACGTAGGTATTTCTAACATTGTTCTTCAAAGCAGTATTAGTAACGCAATTATTTGAAATACGCATAATAAGTGTTTGAGAGTATTCGCTAAGGGATGTTATTATAAATTTTATCAAACAGAAACCACGTGTTTGACATATTTCAGTATGTCGGTACATTTAATTTTTAATAACGAAAAAGAAGGTCATAATAAGACAAACTGAAACAGAAAAAAGAAAAAAAACTCACCGTGGACTGATTACGATAAGAGCCGGTAGGCACCGAACTGGGGGTTGCTGAAGAATTATGTTTTTGAGGTGGCCATCCTTGGCCGTATGGTTGTTCTGGATGTCCGTAGCTATTGAATCGTTGCATGGGGTTCGAGGTGCTTTGAAGGAGTTTGTTGAGAGTAGGTGTCGGTCCCGTCGGCGGTTGGGATATACTTTGCCCTGTCATAAACCGCTGAGGAAAGCCACCAGGTAACTGTTTAGGACCACTGAAAGAGTGGCACGGACCGATATATATATGAATGTACGTGCATACTTATAATGTTGAGGATTTACGATAAAGCAGTGGAATAGTAACGATTATAAAATCCATTCATAAGTATGCCTAATTTATCGCCTTGAAATAGGTAAATCATTTTTTATTGTTATTTTAATGCAATACAAAAAGCCAAAACTACTAATACATTTTTTTATAATACTAACTACTTACTTTGTGACTACATATCAGCTTTGTTTTTGTCGGTTCAAAAAAAAAACATTTTTATTTACCTCTGATACGGCAATAAACAATAACACAAAAGCTTTATTACTTGTCAATTATTGTATCTCCAGTTCATCAATCGAACAAAATATCTACTACAAAATTAAATTATAAAATAATCGATATACCAGCATGACTTCGGTTTTGACAAGTACCTGGATACTATTTCGTTGAAGGCCTTAATTAAGCATTATGCACTTTGTTTTAAGAAATACTTTCCAGATTAGAGCCTTGATTATGAAAATGGTGAGGCATCCAGATATTTTGGTATTCATTTAATTAAACCCCTTCATAATTATTTCGTTAAGGGGACTTTTATGGGTTTTATTAATACCACCGAAATTAGTTCTTTGTTTATAAAAAGGCAAATAAGTTATGATCTCAGATATCATCGGCAATTACTATTAGAGACTAATTTAAACTAAACTTTTAATTCCACGGTTTATCGGTTTAATAGAAGATCGTGTTCCAGATCCACATGCTATGAAAAATAAAAAAGGACTTGATCCAATAAAATAAAAAAATAAAAAATTACAATTATCACACACAGCTAATAACGCTTGCATAGTGTTATTGAAAAGGCAATGGCAAATCATACCCAAATATCATCGCCTAATAACAGTCAATATTTGCAAGAGCAATATTTTACTGTTCCCAGTTATTTACAACATACAGTAAATATTCATTAAATATTAAAAATAACGAATTACTTAATTAAAAACATTGATTGGTACAAAATTAGCTAGCATTTAAATCATTGTAATTAAGGTCGTACAACAAACTGTCTGAACTGTAGTACCTTAGAATAAAGGCTATCCCATGAAATTTGCTTATCTGCATACTAGGTATAACTTTCTCCTAAATTTCGTCAATAAATAGCAGCAGATACACGATATTTTCTGATTTTACCATACACAAATAAAAGCATTTTAATTTTATGATGATAATTTTTTTTATCTTAATGTAAATATAATACATGTGAGATTCTTGGGTGGGTAGTTAAACTGATTAATATACATTTTTATGTAGATGTGGATTCTATGTTTTAATTAATGTGTTGATTTTCTGTAGAAAGTGCTCCCTCCTTTTTACAAAAATTTGTTCAAGAACTTTTCATTCATACATGCATACGATATATAAGTATATGCATGTATAAAATACAATAACAGTCTCAACAGGTAAGTCGTTAATGTTGACTAAGTTTCTTAACATTCAATTTATAATAATAATCAACATGCTTCCGTATGTCGGATAAAATTAATTTCAAAACAATGGCTCACATACTCACTGTTTAAATTATGTAATCGTTTATTGATTTGTTAATGAATACCGACAAATATAAAGTGCATATTAAGAAAATAAATAATAAGATTTAATTTTTTTTTTTGTATCTGTGTACGGCTGTTCACACGTTACTTGCGATTAGTGAAGGCCGTAAAGCAAATTAAACATCTGATAAAGGCCGGTTTGGCCGTGAACAATAAAACTGGAACCTAAACGGAGGTTGGCAATTTGCAGAAGCAATAAATCAGAATTCAGTTCAACAGTGTGATCTTCCTTTTCCTTTATGTAAAACAAATTAACTGAATCATCTTATAAATGCACGCACCGGTCTGTTTGTAAACAAAAAACACGTGCTAGGTATATCATATCATTGTTTTCACATTGATATACATACTACATAATATTATTGTATCACATCCGATCGTTTTTGAGATGCAATGATAGACTGACTAAAAGTACAAAAAATTAAAATTATATTCGCAACTCGTGTTCTTAATGGGGTACAGGTCGATTAAAAGGCTTTGATTATTTAGAAGAGATACATAAAACGTATGCAAGTGTACCTATGTAATATCAATTCTATAAAAGCAGTACAGATCCGGGTACATTCTTCAGTAGAAATTTTACGTAGGTATTTCTAACATTGTTCTTCAAAGCAGTATTAGTAACGCAATTATTTGAAATACGCATAATAAGTGTTTGAGAGTATTCGCTAAGGGATGTTATTATAAATTTTATCAAACAGAAACCACGTGTTTGACATATTTCAGTATGTCGGTACATTTAATTTTTAATAACGAAAAAGAAGGTCATAATAAGACAAACTGAAACAGAAAAAAGAAAAAAAACTCACCGTGGACTGATTACGATAAGAGCCGGTAGGCACCGAACTGGGGGTTGCTGAAGAATTATGTTTTTGAGGTGGCCATCCTTGGCCGTATGGTTGTTCTGGATGTCCGTAGCTATTGAATCGTTGCATGGGGTTCGAGGTGCTTTGAAGGAGTTTGTTGAGAGTAGGTGTCGGTCCCGTCGGCGGTTGGGATATACTTTGCCCTGTCATAAACCGCTGAGGAAAGCCACCAGGTAACTGTTTAGGACCACTGAAAGAGTGGCACGGACCGAACCCGTGTATACTTCCATCACCGCTACTATGAACGTCCCTATTGCCGAACGGAAAACTATAACAATTTCCATCACCGACCACAGGGCTTTCGGTTCCAGAAGCCGGGACAACTTGGTACAAGCCAGTTTCACCGGTGGGCCCCATTTCAGATTCGCCGAGAGCTTGCTCGCCTCCATCCTGTCGATATTGACTCATGGTGCTTGCTTTTGCTTTTGTAACCACTACACTGCCACTTCCGCGAACACTACTCTTTTCGGTTCCATTTTGTAACAACGAATTCCGCAGATTCAGATGCTGATCCGACTGCACTTTTTCGTTACTCACGTCATTTGGTTGCTTTTCGGCCTGCGTTGCAGCCATGTTAAGAAAAACGGCTCCAATCGAGCTTAGACAATCGCTGCCAACACCCCGCCGTTTTGTTCATGAAAGAACACTTTTCATTTTTGGGGTATAAATCGCTTATACGGCGACGAAAACGCATAATAGACAACTCACTGAAACACTAGATACACACAATAAACAGTACAAGCCACGAAACTTTTTACGGAATCAAAAAGGATGGATACATCTGACACACAACTTAATTCACTACCTACTCCAATAACACGAAGGAGGTTATGGGAGATGGTGCCATATTCCTACATCGCCATTTTAATTTCTTTCTTAAATATCTCTCCTTTATTAATTCTTATATTCTTGCACTATATTGAACAGTTTAGTACACCTTAATTTAACATTACTTGACTTTAGATATTCCTCTAAATATTAAATATAGACACTAAAAGTCTAGTACTACATCATGAACTTGTTATTTACACACATCGTTGCTTCGTTTCACACTTACAACCTTTTATTCCCCTAGATGGTTATGTTTTTACAGAGAGGCGGGCAATTTGAAATGAGGTAATCTATATATCACGTGCTCACTTTTCAGAAGAATTTAAAATCAGTCGATATTGTATTTTATTTCAAAAGCTTTAATACTAACATTTATACATATATCGTGTTCCAGATCCACATGCTATGAAAAATAAAAAAGGACTTGATCCAATAAAATAAAAAAATAAAAAATTACAATTATCACACNGTTAGGAACAATTAAATTTTATATACGACTAAGATGAGCCAAATTCGTTCATCCATTTTTCATATTTGTCCAGATCCTCTCTGGAAATGCTCTTATTATTTTTTAATAACGCTTCTTCAAAATCTCTAACGGACACTGGAAGATCCAGTTCTTCTTTAGGTAACTGTTTTATCTGATCTGGACGCAATCCAAAAATCTTTCTACGCATGGCCATCATAGAAGCATCTCTGCAAACGTTTGTTATGTCGGCTCCAGAGTAGCCATCCAATTTGCTTGCGATTTCTTTCAGATTAAGATTTGAATCTAATTTTACTTCTTTTAAACTTATCCGTAACAGAGCTTCTCTTCCATCTGCTGTTGGTAGGGGAATGTAAATTCGTTTTTCTAATCTTCGTCGCAATGCCTCATCTATATCCCAAGGGAAGTTTGTAGCTGCTAACACCATTACTACTTTTCCTTTAAAAAGAAAAAGAAAACATTATTCTTACAGAGTTTGCAAAAATCAAACTTCATAATTATAAAAACAAGAAATTAAATGAATGCTTCAAATTACAATATTTACAACAAACTTTTTAAATTTTCGTTATTATACTATTTAATAAGTTATAAACCCATTTTCTAAATGTCATACACTACACACACACTTAAAGATAACTATTATGATAGTTTGCATCAAATAGTAGGGCACAATTTTTATTTTATTTAAATATTTCACCTGGTTCTTCACTGTTTGCAGTTATTCCATCCATTTGTACCAATAGTTCTGATTTTACTCTTCTAGAAGCTTCATGTTCCGTTTCTGAACCTCTTCTTGAACAAAGAGAGTCTATTTCATCAATAAAAATTGTGCTTGGGGCATAGAATCGAGCCTTAAAATTTAATTTGAACAATTTTTTAAACTACACTGAGTCATTTACAAACCATTTCAAAGAGTAGTCGAACCATCTTTTCAGATTCTCCCCTGTACTTGGAGGTGAGAGTTGAGGAAGACACATTAAAAAATGTTGTACCACATTCTGTTGCCACAGCCTTAGCAAGCATAGTTTTTCCTGTACCAGGGGGACCAACCATAAGAACACCCTTCCAAGGTCTCCTAATACCTACAAATATCAACGTAGACAATGGTAAGATTAAATCATTAATGTTCCTACTACAAAACCTTTAAAAAATTCAGGCATCCACATTGGTAACACTACGGCTTCTTCAAGAAGTCGTTTGGCCTCATGGAGATCTGCAATATCATCCCACCGAATATTAGGATTTTTTTGAACAATATCCCGTTCTAATATTTCAACAAGTTCCCTTTCCATTCCATGACACTCAAACTTCTTATCTTCTTCTGGTTCCTTTTCACTTTTTTCATTTTCATTTTCCTTATTATCCTTATCTTTATCTCTATCTACCTTAGAAGAAGTAGGTCTATCATCTTTCTTCAATTTATTCGGTTTTCTAGTTGTATTGTTTGAAGAACCAACTCTGGCAGTACCCTTTTTAATATCTGATTTTCTTACCAATTGTCTTGACTTTACAGGGCCATTTCTTAAAAGTCATTATACATTACTTAGGAAATACTAAATTGTTTAAAGACTACAAATTACTCACCGACCACTTAAATTATGCTCAACTGGTACAGGTGATGGCCAAACATCAGGATCATTACTTGGGGCTGGAATAAAATTATCTGAAGAAAACATTTGGCCATAGTCTCGGACAGGTTCATCACGTAAAACTGGCCTCCTTATACCTATAGGGACATCGATATTTGTATCTAGCCGAAGAGCTTGAAGTGTATTTTTTAAACTCTTCACTTCTTCATATTCCAAAGCAACTGTTTTTTGTACCTGCAACAGTATTAATTAAATTTCTAATCTTAACGATAACAGCACATATAAATAACCACTTTGTATGGAATCACCTGTTGCCATTTATTTTTACGATTTGGATCTGATATGATAAAAATTAAGCGACTTATCATCTGCAAAGAACCCTCATAATAAATTTCTGCACTTTCATAATTCCCCAACATTGACATTTCCCTAGCAAGAGTAACATTATCACAAATCTCTTTTATGGAAGCAGCCATAACTACCATTCCTGCAGCTTAATTGTAAAACAACTAAAATAACGAAAAAACATCAAAATTTGGAGGTTAATGTTTATCGTTTCAAATTATTCTCATTTGAACAACAAAATATATAACTAAACAGCGAATTCTGTAAAACTTACTTCTTGTATTTAATCTTGTAAATATATATTATTAGGATTATAATTTATAAGTACAACGTCCAACTGTGGTTCAACAACATTCCTGACATTTTTCGCTGTCATTATAGAGAAGGCCTATAGATAAGGCTACTACTTTGCTGCTTTTTTACCCATAGATCATACATCGAAGAATACATCTGGTGTTGTTGTCATAATTAATTTTTTGTTTTTCATTGAAAAATAAACATCCACCAATATTTTTCTTTACATATCAGTATTCACATAAGCTCACAAACGATTTGAAGTCGAATGAATAACGGGAGTCCATTTTACAATTAATTTTAAAAAAATGTTGACTAAACGTCATGTGTTGGTTAATTATACACAGCCGATCTTAGGATGTTCATTGGTTTATGCAAAGATTTATATTGCCTTGGTCTATGATGTGTCAGTTGTGTACACGTCTAACATTGTCTATGGTGTACACCATAAACATAGACCCTTTGTATATCTATTATCTATGAATATAGATTAGAGAAACACTTTCGATGATACACTACAATCTCTTATCTATGACCATAAATTGGAGAACATCGAAGAAAGGAATATATCCCTGATATCCCTCAATATTTATTTAGTGTCAATTTTCTTATCAGTAACCAAGTAAAATATGGTAGTTTTTTAACTGTGTTATAAAAACTTGAAATATTTTCAAAAACGTTAAAGAAAAGTAATCAAGGATGTCAGGTTTTGATGATAATCAGTTCGGGGAACCTACTATTGAAAATCCTTTTGCGGTAAGTGTTCTTTTCATAGTATAAAGATGTTATTGCAATATCGAAAACATTTAGGATCCAGCAATACAACAAGTAACAAGAAATGTTAATTCACAAATAAGAGTGGATGATTATGATCCATTTTCAAATCAAACACCAGTTCAGAGGCCTGTAAGTTATATATCTTACATTGATTTGTACTTATTATTACAAACAGTTGTGGTTTTTTGCAGGCAACTTTTGATCCAGGCAGTGGCCAACCAGCAATCATGCAACCAACACAGGATCCTCCAACATACACTCGTAGTGGACAACAAACTCAACCAAAACCAGTACTTGACACTGCAGAATTACAAGTGAGTTAATAATAATAGGTTTTCATATTCAGATAAACAAGTTAGTTTTTTTTTTAACAAGAGAAGGCAAGAGGAGTTAGAAAGAAAAGAAAAAGAATTGAGTCGTAGAGAGGAAGAAATGAGACAAAATTCTTACAATTCTAGACGTAATAACTGGCCTCCACTTCCTGAACAGTGCTGTTTTCAGCCTTGCTTTTATCAAGATATACAAGTTGATATAGCACTGGAATTTCAGAAAATAGTCCGTCATCTATATTATCTTTGGATATGTAAGCAAAATATTCAAGATATACCATGTTTTGTATACTTAATAGAAATATGTTACAGACCATGGAATTATTATGTTAGTTAACGTATTTGGAGGCATTCTTTTGACAAATTTTAAAATAATAGGACTGGGAATATTATATACTATATTATTTACACCACTTTCATATCTTTGCTGGTTTCGTCCTGCTTATAAAGCATTCCGCTCAGATTCCTCATTCAACTTTATGGTATTCTTCTTTATTTTCTTTTTTCAATTTATAGTAAGTACCATACAAACCATAGGAATCCCCGGTTCTGGTACAGTGTAAGTATAACTTATTTCATTTTAACAGTCATCTTTTTCACAAAGTTGCTTTTTGTAGAGGAATTATTATAGCAATCGAAGAGTTTGATGGTAGTGCCAGAGGAATTATACTTGGAATTTTATCACTTGTAATTGCAACTGGTTTTGCTTGTGCTGCTGCGGCTGATTTGTTTCTTATTACTAAAGTAAATTACCTAATAGATATAATTTTAAATTTATGTTTAGTCAATAAAGATATGGTAAATTCACACTATATCAATTAATTATTCATATTTCCAGATACATCGCGTTTACAGAAGTACTGGAGCCAGCTTTGCAAAAGCTCAAGCTGAATTCACGTCCGAGTTCCTTCGCAACCAACATGTTCGTAGTGCTGCAACTAATGTAGCAGCTGCTGCAGTTCAATCACAATTCAATAGTCCAAACACCAACAGATATTAAAAAATCGTAGCCGTTCTGTGTTATATGTTCTAGTAAGTGCAGTCAATAGTATCCCATTAATTTAAGAAGTATGTAGAGGGTTTTGCATCTGTTTTTTCATTTCATATCATGTTGGATTATTTTTTCCAATTAATCCATATTGTGCCTTTGTATCAAGGAGTTGCAGTAAAGAAACATTAAATTTGTTAACAAAAAAGTACAATTACTGCAAGTTTATTTCATTATTCCAGTTTATTTAGCTGAATCCGTATAACTTCAATTACAAACAAAAGAAAAATATTCTCCATATAATTTAGGATTTGTATTATATTCTGTTAATTGTAATGGTAGAGTCAACTTTTATGTATATTTTAACGCAATATGCAATTACAAATAATGTTAGAGAATATATTTTTATTTAATAATAGTGACGTCATTTCGTTACGTTTTCTTTTTTTAAAAAGTTAATTAACAGTTCTGTTTAAGCTTAAATGTCCGTATTAAATAAAAATTTAATTGGTAATCAATTAATTTAAGTATAGTGTTTAAGCAACAACAGAACACTGCATTATAATACATATTTGTACTGTTGCTAAATGAAAGACTTCTTGCGTTATGTTGAATTTGTTGATTAAAAAATAAACGTTTTTGTTTGCGTAACTTAAATACTTCTGATTCCTTCCTGTTCCAAACAGTGATACAATCAAGCCACATTTAGGATTGGATACTACATTCTTAAAAATAAAACATTAGCAACCCTTACGCTTTTGATTTAAGTACGATGCTTTAACTTACGCATACATCTTCGAAAATTAGTTATTCCTATACAATATGAAATAATTTCAGCTTTGTTTTTCATACAGTTTTTATTTAAAAAACGTTGATAAAAAGTACATTTTTGCGACGACATGGAAACCCTGAAATAAACGATAAAAATCATCACTTATATAAGATTTATTTTCTATTGCACACAAACAAAATCGTGCAATTGAAAATAATGCCCAATTAATAGTAAACAATTNATGAAAAGCTATTTTATAGGCCTTATGTAAAAATTCGCCAATTTATAATACAAAACGGTGCAACTGCTTTACAATTAAGGAAAACAATTTTACCATCTAAGGAAAAACTAAAAGAAAAGTAAAATAACACCTGATACCGTCCGTTAACATTCAAATTTGAGTATCTCAAACTGAATAAAATGGATTAAAAATGTAAGATAAGTATCACATGCAATGGAAGACATGTTCCAAAAAGTGATGAGGAAAAAGAAGCGCAACGTTATGTTAAGGCCCATCTGTATGAGGGAAATTACGTAAAATGAAAGTATAAGAAAAATATGCTTGCATGGCCTGAAGGTATCACATAGGAAAAAATACTCACAAATTAAGATTATGAATAATTTAAGGTGTCAGAAAAGAGACCGATTAAAATTAAACGGGCGATGCAACTATCCTAAATAGATGTACATAAGTACTTAAAATAACGATCGAATTAAATATTGTAGATATAGCAATTTTAAAGTGAGCTGCAACACATTCTCAAGTATAGCTTAGTTTTTAGAGGGAGGCGAGATTTTTATAATACGAAAGCATGCGCTTGCATGTGATTTGGTATCTGCCGTTGATTGCAAGTTGAAAGCAAATTTGTTATTCGTTATTCCTTGATGTTGTGAACAATTTGTCTAATCACTTTCTTTGTGTTAAAAATTAAATTTAAAGGAATTGTTTGTAAATAGGTATGCAACACATCGTACACTTCAGCATAACAAATTGTTGATTGGCCTGTGTTGACATATTTTTTGTACGTATTATAGAACTTTATCTTTTGCAAAAATTAATTTATATCAGTCCCATCGCCGCACACCACTGCTTCCCACTTCGGACAGGAAACCAATTTCTAAAAATTCGGGAATGTCCCTCTCGCCTCCGTAAAATAACAGAGCTATAACAACCCGTGACTTTCAACAAATTAATAGATACTGTTAAGAGACAAAAAATAATTATAACAAGTAAATACCTATATAATAAAATAACAATAAAATTAAACAATCAAATCGCTATTAATTAAGCGCATTTAAAACGATCGTCAATAATTATTATTAGTACACCTTTGGTCGTAAAGTAATGTAAAAAGACTCAATTCAATGTACCCAAGTTGTAAAAAATCGGCTCGGCACAGAAAAACATAGTGCAGTTTAGTTAAAAAAAACTGAAAGCTATTCAACTATCATAAACAACAACCATGTGTTAAAACTTGCTGTGTGAAATTTAATTACTACTCCACCTACTGTTTCAATTTTTCCACTCATCAAACTGAGGTTGATCTTGATTCCATGTGCTCTTGAAATCATCAACAAAACCAGCATCGGATGCAATTGTATGATCTTTCCAATACCAGTCCTTCCTTTTGGCTTTGAATTTTATGTACGAGGGCGTGTCCTGAGAGGAAGAATCATCTTTCCAATGTTCCCGATAAAAGAATTTCTTTTTAAAATGTTCCGGCTTATTCCTTTTGTCTTCGGTATGCCTTTGGTACTTTAGTAAAGCTGGATTTAAACGCACAGGGCTTCTCTCCTTCTCGGGCGGATTCGGACTAAAATTAATTGTCAAATTCGGAGAGGATGATGGCGAAGGGGTCCGTGGCGGACCCGATTCGTCATTTTGGTCGCTTATCGGGGAATTATCAACATTACTCTGTTTATTATTTGATGGAGGTTTCAAAAGGGAGGGTTTTGCGTTTGGATTTAGCTTTAAAAATTGTTTTGGCGGTCCGGCAGTTAGACTGGGGGGTGGAGGATCGCCATGCCCGATTCCCGAGTCTGGGGAGGTATTGCAACTATCAGTTCCTTCCGTTGACCTACGACGTTTGTCCAATTCGGTCGAAGCAAAAGCTACCAATCTATCGAAGCCTGAGCTGATTCTGTCTTGCCATTTTGATTCTTCCGCTTCTTCTTCTACTTCCACATCTAATAAATTGAAAATTTTATTAACTATCATTATTTTATATTTGTTATGTTGTTTATAGCAACGAACAATCAAAATAACTCACTTCTTGTACTGCTTGTTGCGTTAATGAATTAAAATGAGCATAGAGCAACATCCCCTCGTTTAAATCGTTTCTTATTTATTACTTATTTCTTTTTTAATTTCAAAGCAAAAAAAAAATATATATATTTATGTAGTGTTAATTATACGCTAAAATAATTTAGTAATTGCAATAAGCTTAAAGACAACGAATTTCATTGTGCGTGTGTTGTGTAATGTGTGAAATTTATGTAATCCCATAAATACAATATTATAACTACCACCATCACCGCAATATAATAAATTAAACACATAAGGGCAAACTTATTTTAAAAACTGCAGTAAGCTACTTACCACCAAACTATTACGGTAGACGTAAAGTGCATTTGTGATTTTGTGCACACGAGACAATGCATGCCTGATCTCCTCCTATGCCAATGTAAATAAAAGTCGTAAATATAAGTGCTTCATGGGGAAAAAACAAGTTATTTTTTAATGAATTGTTACTTTTTGTTAATTGACTGATCGATTAAAAATCTCAATACCGACATAGCAGAAACATTTTCATGCAGTTACATACATCCGTACCGTTGTTCAATTTAAACTAAATACGTATGTATGTACACATACAGATTTTATTATTAATGATCGTATAATATTGATAAAATTGCAATTTTCAATTTTCGGAAAATACGACAGAAAAACGCAACAACCAAAATTTATCTTCTTCTGCAACTGATACTTTTGTTTGTTCGATTTTTTAAATTCTTATGAAATGTTTATATAAGTGTAGTTAAAAAGTAGACACCCACTATTGTATAAACCTGCCCAGACATAGATTAGTAAAAGCTGATTGAAAGTAATTAGTTGCAACAAGCTGAATTTTTTTTCCATAGTAAACAAAATATTAACAACTTGCTTTACAACGGTCACATTTGAAATTTGGAAGTAACATTCCTACATACATACATAAGTTCTGAATAAATATGAGTTAAAGGCTTATTCGCTCTTTATAATTAATTATACACTCTACGTGTGCATTCGTCAATTATCTTTAAGTATTGTAATACATTATTATTTGGTATGTTCATCAACTTCGGTACAATAATTAATGACGAATTTCGATAAACACTGCGTCTAATTAATTTGGAATAACCATGTAGGTGTTTGCTCTCCCGAAACCTACTTATGTCATACTTACCTCAAATTAAAAGACATGTCGACCTGTACGTCACATCTTACTTACCTTTAGATTACATGTTTTAGATGTACAAGATTAAGTGATTATAAAAACTACGGAGTATTACAAAACCGTACGGAATACTTAATTATTTTCTAATCATAAGCAAAATACAAAACAAAAACTAAAGACAAAACTACAGAAGCAACAATACTGAAGCTAATATTCTCTACTGGAAATAATTACGTAAGTCGATATTTGATCAATGTAACCGAAGTGTTGCATTGGTAGGGAATTGAACCCAGGCATATTGATGTATAATTAATGTTAGCTTGGTCGCGCCAGCTCGTATTCAATTCCCGGCAGATGCAATACTTTTTTTAATTAGATTTTATCTGCCTTAACGGCAACACACACAAATGATTTTTATTTTGGGCACATCTATGGCACACTACCTTTTGAATTATATACATACCATAAGTTTCATTCCCTTCCTTTTACAATAAATACCGAAAAACCGTTTCGACGTTAATAAATTGTATGTATCCCTACGCTACATAGAAATTAATATACTGTAATAGCAGTTTCTAACGTTGAAGATATGAACAAAAAAAAAAATACCCCCAATTCTTAATTTTTCGCTAAATTAAATCTGCATTTTTTATTGGTTCGTTACATAAAAAGAGATCTGACAGTAGTGCCGTCTCGCCTTTATCGATGATGTTATTACAAATGAATTAGGTATTTCCATAAAATTACGACTTCATGTCGTGTGCAGGTATTCTTTATATGTATAATGTGAAAATCTATGTCAACGAATTCGCTGATGTGGGTGATCTAGTAATGGTAGTAAAATTAAAAAAACTCACCGTCTTCATTTTTACGAGACTTCTGTTCTAAGGATTCGTCAATAACAGGAGTCGGTGTATTCGAATGCAGCTCCTGGGGAACGTCCATGAAAACTGCGTTCCTCTTTATTAGATTGCGTATAGGACCTTGAATAACGACAGACTCGATCTGTTTACCGTACTGGCAATCGCTGGTCCTTTGCTCGACTTTTATACTCGACTGTTCTTGAAAATTAGATACATTATTTGATACCATAAATCCTCGTCGGTCATATACACCACTACGGTCATCAATTTCTTCTTTGATATGTTGACTTTTTAAAACACCTGCTTGGAGACTTGCTGCAAGACCTTCTGCCACAAAGCCGTATCTTTCGCTTTCAGAAGGTTTTACTTCGTTGAAGTATGACTCGTGATAGGGCTTAATATCAGCTCTTGGGAGGGGAGTGTACTGATCATTTTGAGAATACGTTCCTGAAGTACTTTGCCTCGATTGAGTTGGATACAGTACTGTGGTTCGAGGTGAAAACTGGGCTTGAACGGTCGACGATTGTATCGAAGACGGTTCGTATATATTGGATTGTGGATTAATCTTGGCATGGGAATGCATATAAGCTAGTCCTGAAAACAAAAACAATATACATACAGATATATTTTAAGTTAGATTCTTTTCACCTTCAAGACCTTCTGAAGAAGATGGTCTAGAAATGGGACTATAAACTTGTCTCATTAGCGGTTCAGTTTCTTTGCTGCATGGTATTGTTAGTTCTGTGTTAGGTTTCGCGTTGGTTCTTTCGGGACGTGGGGGAATATTGGAATTGACCATAGATCTAGGAGTAAGAGTGGTAGTACCTTGAATGTCACTCATATCAACGGCAGCATTAATTATTGACTGATTTGATATTTCTAACGTTCGTTCTATCTCTCCAGATACAAGATCACCTATTGTCCTTGTCGCGACTAGTCCGTCTGAATGGTTGAAATTAGAATACTGTGAAGCTAATTTCTCTTGAGATAAATGACGTCGAAGGGCCAGCTTCGCAGGGGAAACTTGAGTATAATCAGGTTGTTCTGTAGTCAGTGTTCTCTGTTGCTGATGCTGCTGAGGAATTCCCAATGTATCTTGCTCGCGAAAATTATTAATAGGTGGATGGTGATGATAACGGTCCGTTTGAGATCTTGGCTCCTCAAGAGAACGCGTAGGTTCGCAACGAAAATATTTGTTAAACTTGATTTTATCGTCTTCTTTTGGTGCATACTGATTGCAAAAATTATTCTGATAGTTGCATGATTGTGGATTTTGTTGATTTAATGCTGGAAATTGAGTGAACGTTGAACTTTGCGATTTTGTACGATTTTGTTGATCTTCATTTAGAACGGATGTTATGATGATTTTTAAACGATCTTCGAAATTTGAAACTTTTGGTGTTTCTTGAACGCGTGAGGACGAGTTGTTTGAATGCTTAATTCGTTTTGGAGCTGGAAGAGGAGCAGGCATATTGCTCCTAACAACTCCCTTTTGATTAGGTGATGACTGATACGTTTTCAAACCGTTAGAAATTTGTTGTATTACCTTATTTGAAATTTTACTCGCTTCAATCTTCCTTCCCGTTTCCAGTATCTTCTGGGCCAAAATTTCAGGATTCTGTTCTTCAATTTTTCCAATGTCTGGTACATCAGGCCATTCTTGTGAACGAGCTCTATACTCTCGGGGTTTTCTGGATATTTTCAATGGTTGCTGATTCTGTCTCATGTTCAACGTTGCCTGTGCTTGCTTTCGATCATCGTGAGTTTTCTCTAAACTTAGCAGTTCTCCCTCTAAACGCGACACTTGATTATGGAGCTTTTTGCGACGAGCTAACGTTGACGATATCTCCCTCAAAATAAATTCTTGGGCAGCATGTGGCGGCATTTCATGATTAGAATCTTGTTTGAAATATTTTTCACAAATTTCTTGCTGTCTTTGCAGAACCAAATGATTCTTTTCTTGTTCAAGTTGAGCAAACTGAATCTGTAATTTACTTGCTTTCGCTTGTAACTCTTTATGGCGACAGACAATTTCCTTTGCTTTAGCTAATAAATCTACTGGTGAAGTAGCGTTAATGCCCAACTCGCTCATTCTGGCTTTTAGTAATGCTACACTGTCATCTATCAGAACCTTTATTTGTTTATCTAATTGTGCTGCTCGGTTTTGAAGTCGTTGATTCTTTTCCTGAAAGTTTACAATTATTAGTTTGTTTATAATTATATTATATTTATAATCATACTTTTTCGTGTTTTATGTCATTTTCAACGGAAACTTTGTACTGTGGCTT